AGGGAAAGGTGATATGTTTTGATACATTTAAAAATACAGTTGGAAGAAACAGGCAGAGAAAGGAGAAGTTTTAAGTTTTTTCTGAAAACCTGAGAAAGACCTTTAAGATTTGAGTGGTACTGTGGGGTTCAAACAGAAGCCAAATGCATGAGTTGGAGATAATTCTGAAGAACTGTCATAATTTCCATGAGGGCCTGTCAGACAGCCTTAATCTGGGAGGGAAACACCAATGAAAAGCCATTTTAGAGCAGTCTGGGTCCAAGGCTGTAAGGTGTGTGCTGTCTTGGTGGGATGAACTGTATTGGATTTTATCCTATGGCTTTGTGTTTTCAGCTTGACTTGACTTTAATGATTGTCATTATCCAAACACTGAAATAAGAGGATAATCATTTTAAAAAAAATGTAGTGGGAATGACCACAATGGTTCAGATTTTACATCTTCTTTAATCCTTATTCTGTATGTTTTACCCCTATGTGTCTTTGTGTTTTCCTTAGCTTTCCCCTTGAAGGCTGAACTTTCCAGGTGTGGTTTTATTTTTTGTAAGAGAAATATTTTTGAGGGTTTCAGGCAGCATGTTACTTGGATGTTCTGGAACAGAAGAGAACCCAGAATGTTAAAGGCGGGGTGGGTGTGTGTGTGTATGTGTGGAAGTCTGTCAGCCCTTTTGGGCATCCATAATTGAACTATGGAGAAATAGAAACTTGACTGTAACCTCAGAGAATGTCAGGTTTTTCTAGGAGTTAGTTTTACTTTGCCTAATTCTATCCAAACTGCCTTTCATAATGTTAATTGTGCTTCCACCTCTATGTGTGACACCAATATAAAATGATCAAGAGTAACCGAGTTAGCTTGAACACTCTCAGGTTGTGAGAAGTATATTTTTCTAAAACTTCTTTTTTTAAAGATGACATAATGAGAGAAAAATTCCAAGTGATGTTTTTAATGACCTGAATTTCTGATTTTGGCAGGTATTAGCACCAAAGATGGTACTGCCAAGAAAGATAAAGACTTCAGAGGAAAAGCCCAGAAGCAGGTGCAATTTAATCCTGGCCAAACCTTAGCTACGTGGCGAGTACGGATTTTGAGTGATGGTGAACATGAACAGTCTGAGTCCTTTCAAATTGTTCTTTCTGAGCCTGTCATGGCAGTTCTGGAATTTCCTGATGTATCCACGGTGGAAATTATTGACCCAGGAGATGGTAAGAACGTTTCCAAACTGTACTGCCAATATGTGCATATACCAAAAGATAAACTGGAGGGCAAATGCGATGAGTAACAGTGGATAGTAAAGCTTACCTTTCCTCAGAATATTTCTGAAGACAGACTTGGGCATTGAGTAACCGTGTGTCCTCTATCACTTTAAGTGATTCACGAATATGTAGCTAAGATAGCATGCTTTGATGAAATACCTGCATTTTTCCTGTGATATATTATTTCTAGGTATTTTTTGTTTTGTTTAGTTTTGTTTTCATTTTAGGTATAACAGGTTTTCAATTCAATGTGTTTGAAAACAGAGTGTATCAGCACAGTTGGCTGGAGGCTGGCTTGATTTACTCTGCCATGATAATTCCTGTGGGAGAGGATAGTACAGGGAAGTCCAGATTGGTTGGTCCAAACAAGTTTGGGTCTTGGAGCAGACTAGTTGCATCAGTTAGGCCTTAATATCAAACTGAGAAGCTCAGTAAGGGTAAGGTTCACTAGGCCAAGTACAGCACAAGCTGTGTCAAGGACAAATAAAGTTATGGTTAAATGTAAATGAAGAAAGAAGCTGATTTAAAAAAAAAAAAAAAAGTAGAATGTGCTCTGGTTGCTTTGCTTTTCAGCTGCATCCAGACACTTGAACTCATGGGCGCTGGTCACACAAAACTGTTCTTAAGGAATCTTTCAAGTATTGGACAACTGTAACAGCTTGTTTTATATAGTCTTCCCTAATTAACATTTGAAGAGAACTGGGCAGGAAAACTGTCAGAGGTTTCTTAATTCCTAGTTACAAATGCAAGTTAAATGAGAGGTTATCTGACATGCATATTTACTCTCTGAGATAAATAGTGCTTAACTTGAAAAGCAGTGTGTATGAGACACAAAAATTATTTGAAAATGTGTTAAATCGCTCTATCTTTTCTATGATCAGTGAGACAGCGCAACTCAAGATAATCATCTGAGCATTCTTAATGCCAATGATAGTTTTTTCTATTTCTTATATTAAGATAAAATTTTTACAGTCTCAGAGAATTTGTAGTAATTATACATAAAGTGAAGTTGTGTGGGAGAAAATCAAATGTACAACTGCAAATGAAGGAATATCTACAGGAAAAATATAGAGAGAACTTTGAGGGGAAAGACTGGGTTTCCTAGTAATCTTTTAAAGTGCAGGGTATAACAAGTTCAGATGCTAACTGAATAGGAACCATCAAAAGTTTTATTCTGCTTCCAGTGAAAATTATTTTAAAGTTTATTGATATGAATGGTGTAGTCTTAGAACCAGAGTAGTGAGCTTGTTTGGAAAGCTGTACCAGCCTCTTGGTGTATGGGACATTAGTTAATGTTTTATTCCGAAAAGAGATTGCATAGGATGTGTTTTCTTATACTAGCTGAGATGTTGTAGATCATTGTCCTCTGAGCTTTTATGTTGTTCATAAGGTCTGTTAAACTTTTATAGTGTCATGTTACTCCTAGTTGGATAATTCTGAGAGAGACAGGAAACAGAACAAATCAGATTCCTGCATTTTTTTTTGAAGGATAGAGTTTTTCATTTTGTCAACTTAATTCTAAAGGGGTAAATAAAAGGAACAAATTGAGGGGTTTTAGTGTTAGGTTTTGTTATACTTTAAAACAAAAAGGTAGGGATTTGGTGATTTTCACATTGACTTTTTGACTTGCTGGAATAGCGGAAGTACCTAGATCTTATCAAACCTGAATTACAGCATTTTTAAGGCAGGCTTTTGACCTTAAGTCGTGCTAGTAGTATTTTCCAGTTGGAGAAATAAAACCTGGAACATGTTTTCAAAGAAGTCACATGGCAATTTTCAGAACATTGTTTACCAAAGTACTATGAAATAATTAAAATATTTGCTTTGTGCAATCAGCTGATACCACTTGATTTTTGTATTATACAGAATTATATTCTGTTTGGGCTGCAGTCATATCAATGAAACTATAAAGGTGCTTTATAATTATATGTGTAATCACCTTTTGCTCTTGAGTTTTTGAGAGAACAAGAACAAAATTGATCCTGAATCCCAGTAACAGCATGAAACTCAGCAATCTGTTTATATGAGTATAAAATAATGAAGGAGTTTAAAATGCATTTTAGTGTTTTTTTTCACTGAAAAATAGATCTAACATTCTTTGGTCCAATACGTTTTGTCATGAGATTGCTCTCCAGACTTCAATGTCTGTATTGGCTGGGTCTCCTTTGAGTACAACAGGAATGTAGATATGTAGCCAATTCAAATGTCCAAATCAGAGTAAGATAGCAAGAGTTCAGTCTTGCATCCTCAATGCCAAATGATTTTCATGGTTATCTTGATGCAGTAAGTTAAAGAATGGCCTTGCAGAACCACAGCCTGTGTGTTAGCTATGCCATTGATACTTCTGTGGTTAACAGTTGATAATGAAATACTATGGAAATAATAAAAATATGGACCTTGTGGACAAATTCTCCACTCTCTTGCACCATTAACACTAGATAATTAAATTACTCATATTAGAGACTACTTAGTAAGGACTTGTGAATTCAGATCTAATGATCTGATTTTCTTTTCCATTTCTGAAAGACTAAGAAACTCTACTTTTCTCACCCTCTAAGTTTTTCCTAAAATTTGGTGCCACATCTGATAAATACAAGTTATTTGTTGCACTTTTGAATACGCTCAAATGCTTCTAGCTATTTTACAAGTTACTTTATGAGGCCATAAACCTACATAAACAAATGTGTCTGCTCTTTGCAGAATCAACTGTCTTTATTCCTCAATCCACCTATACTATTGAAGAAGATGTTGGTGAATTATTTATTCCAGTCAGAAGAAGTGGAGATGTGAGCCAGGAACTGATGGTTATCTGCTACACACAGCAAGGTAACAGAATCTACTATAGAAAAAAAAAGGCAAAAATGGAAGAGACAGAAAAACAAAAATAATTGTTCCATCTATTGCATAATAAAATTGCTCGTAACTCTGTTAATTACTTTTTCATCTAAATATCTTCAGTCTCAGTTGGAAATGTATTCATGTTTGCAATCTGTCTTAGAATATTATTGAATATAACTGAAAAATTGTCATGTTCCAAATTTCTGCCATTTGTTAGAGGGTGAAGAGGATCTGTGTTCTTTATCTTATTGTAAGATTTTTATATGCAGCCCCATAGATCTGAAAGTGATGAGAACTGAAAGCACTGCAGTGATTTTCCAGGATACCCTTTACTTGTTTGTATCTTGAAAAAATTGGTATAAAATAATATTGCTTAGTTACCGTGCTTCTCCTTCCTCTGTATTTCAGTCTCCTATTAATTATATCCACACAGAGCATGGAGTCTCTACAGCTGTGCTTTTATTATTATTTTTCATCTGGAGAGATGAAGCAACATTTTTTTGGTGAGGTGATCTGGAATCAAAATAATTTGTTTTCATCAAATTCTATGTGTTATAGTTAATTTCTGGTCCACCAATATCTTCAATGGGTAAAATATACTCTGGGAGTTAACTAATAATCCTCACAGGGTCTCCTTTGTCAGTCTGTGTCTCTTGTGATAGACTACAATGTTCCTTCTGACTGAAAAACTGCAAATGAATTTAAGGAGCCATGTGCTTGCATTGCATCATATACAGAAGTAGTTTGTCCAGGGACCTCAGAAATGTAGCCTGGTCAGAGGTTTCAGGCCATGTTGTCACCTAAAAGTAAATAGAAATTAAAAGGTAATGAAAATAAAATTCAGCCTCTGTGATGAGATCATTATAACCATGGTTTGTATAGTGACTATTTTCCTTTTATGCCACAGGTACAGCATCTGGCACGGCCCCAACCTCTGTACTTTCTTACTCTGACTACATATCCAGGCCAGAGGATCACAACAGCATTCTACGTTTTGACAAAGATGAACGAGAAAAAATGTGTCGGATCGTCATCATAGATGATTCCTTGTATGAAGAGGCTGAGACCTTTGATGTTTTGCTGAGCATGCCAATGGGTGGAAGAATTGGTGCAGAATTCCCAAGCACTCAAATTACTATTGTACCTGACAAGGATGATGGTAAGACATCATGTAACAAAGGATATTCCGAGTTCAGGACAGAAACTACAAATAGCATCACACTCAAATCAGCATGAGAAATTGGATTTTTGCACTTCTTCCTAGGACTTAAAACACATGCTGCTTCCATCTGCAGATTTGAAAATACTATTAGAAAGCTATGTGGGTTTTTTAAAGTATTTAGTATCGATATTTTATGGTTTGAGAAAATCACATGAGCAGTGATTGGGAGTGAGGAGGCACACCTTTCCATTCTATGACGGTAACAGGTGTAATCCAAAATAGCACCCTGCTTGGGCAGCCTTATATTTGTGATTCTGAGGTTTTGTCTGCAAAGCCTTCAGGCCCCTTACATTATACTCCAAAGGACCATATTAGAGGCCAGAAGCCCTCTAGCTGCTGCTAAGAGGCAAACTGTAGTCCTTCTGATTTGATGCTGCATTTAAATTTCTACCTAGAAGTCTCCATATATGCTTCCTTTCTCTTTTTAATAAAGCAAATAATCAAAAGACAGTAATGTTGCTTTAGAAATCGCCTCAGTAAGGAGGTGCTGACAGAACGATGTCCTTTGTTCAAGTGGTCAATAACTTTGATATATTGCATTGAAAGGGACGTGTCTGGTGGTGATTAGAGAGAGGTCTGTGACTAAGGAAGAGTAGAATCAGCACACTGTATCACCAACTGACTTTGAAAATACATGTAAATATCACTGCAGCCCCAAGCCTCTCCTTCAGCGTCCCTAGCATTGATGTGGCAGCTTTTCTTCTAGGAGTAGTAGCAAAAAGGTTTCCTGGTACAATTGCTCTCATTTATGCATGGAGTTGGGAGGCTGACATCTCAACTGTAAATTCTGTGAAAAGAATACCGATAAGCTATTTTAGTCCTCTCTTGTGAGGCCGTAAACCATCTGTTGTGACACTGTCATATTTTGTGAAGACTAATATGAGGAATTACATAATGCAGTACTCTTTGAAAGTCTGATGCCAAGATAAGACAGTTATTATCAGCACAGCGATTTCTCCCTAGTTAAGGACATAAAAGGCAGCTCTTAAAGGCAGGAAGTTGACACCCATCTAATTGCATCATAAATACTCAGTTTGCCTGAAATTTCTCCTGTGTAATCCTGTGACAGAGGTGATTTTGTTTTCTCTGTGAAGCATTTGGGGAGTCATATAGCATTAATGAATACAGCAGTTTGAAATAACACTTCTTGTAAAGTACCAGATGATGTATTGAATGCAAGCTGAAATAGAAGTATGTTTATCTGACTTTGCTGTGATAGCAAATACAGGTTTATTTGTGTAGGTTTTTTACAACAATTTGATTTTTTGAATAATTTTGATGAATTCCTGAACTTTACAGTTTGTAAATGGCAGAGCATAGAATATTGGGAGAGTAACTATAAGAAATCATATCCGTGAAGAAGCTGATTACCCGGCTTTTGAAGGTGTTCTGATTGCTTAAAATGTATATGGAAAGTTTGGGATGGGGAGAATGTTTCTCCAAGAGATTATTTAAAACAGAGATGAGCTGAAATTAGAGCATCTAATTTAAGCAGGAACATCAGTGCCTGGGAGGGAACACTTTTATATGCTGTTTTTAGCATTTAAAATAAGATATTATCGTTCATAAGCTTATACAGTCATTTTAACAGTAACATAGAGTAACTTTGAATAAGAAACAATTAAAGTTAATAAAACTCAACACAGTATAGAACTTACCAGTTTATGAAACTCCCACAAGGTATTAGGGAAGTTAACAAGAAATGTCCTTTATTTTAACACTGCTTTTAGAAAACATGAGAAGTAAATTTGTTTGTATACCACCATTCAGTTTTAGGCCTAGTAATTCCTGCATTTATGAGCACAACTTTACTCAATGCTACAAACTTTTAAACAGGAATTATTTAACAAATAATAATAATCTTATGGGATTTATTTAAAAGACTGGGGAACTGTTTGGGACAGTAGAGTAGAATATTTTCATTATGTAACAACTGAAAATTCTACATTTGTTGGTAAGAGTAAACAATATTTTGGATATTGAAAGATAAGGGGGCTTTGAAAGATAAGTTTGGATCGTTTTTTACAAACATTCACTTGTCTTTTTTTACCCAAAGTGTTGCATGTCATATTTGAAATAGCGTGACAGAACTCCTTTTTTGCTTTCTGTATCAGTGAAAGTACTTCCACAAAAAATTCCAGAGCATTCAAGAACTGACTGACGATACCCTTACCAGTAAAGTTTTCTACCACATGCTTTTAGTTTGCACAAAAATATAATGCATGTTAACAAAAAGTCTGTATGCATTTTGTTCCATCTGAGATCTCTTGTGCTGCCTGTTCTATAAAAAGCGGAGTACAGACTACAGAGTGGATAAATTGTAAGTTATACCTTACATATTTATTTATATATTCACACACACATATATTAAAAAAAAAATATGCTTATTTCAGATTGTGTATATACACACATATTTACGTAACATGAGCAATTTAACACCCTGGTAGTCACAATTAAAAGTCTGCATAAATAAGCAGGGGATTTTAAGCAGCAGTGGTCACTATTGTATGTACTGCACAAAATTAATTTTGGTAAGTTAAAACAGTATGCTGTGTGAAATACAAGCATTTTCTTTTGCTTTTAACAATAAAATTTAATTCAGAAAATGCCTAAATAGAGGTGGATAAAAGCTTTAGCACATACATTATAGCCTATGAGCTATAGCAATGTTACCATACTAAATCCCATAGTCCATTTTAGTCTACTTCACGTCTCCTGATATATTTTTCTCATTGTTTGTTTAAATTAATCTTCTACTGAACAAAGTTTCTTTGGACAAATGTCACAGCATGTCATTAAGTTGTGATTTCTCAAAGTACTGTGACTGGATTCACATTATGCATTGACTTCTTCAGATCAAAAGATACAAACAGCAAAGGTCAAAGTTTAATAATACTACATGAGATCTTTCCTATGGAAGTCAAGTCAGCACTAGCAACATTACCTTATCTCCTCTGGCATTCAATGCAAGTTAATTAGGAAACATTCACCTTCGGTACCTATCATCAAAGTCTTTTCTTTTTCTTTTATTTCTAGAGAAGGCCCTTAGGGTCTAACTAAAAGAAATGAGTTGCTGTACAATCATGACAATAAACAAAAAGTAAAAGAGGTGTGCTCAACTTTCTAGTGAACCAGAGTATATTAAAGAAATTCCTGGCAACTGAATACTTTAATTGGGGATTATACGGTTGGGCTGTGCAAAATCTGAAAAAAAATCATGGTATGTAGAACATGCACAGGTATATTTACATAGATTGTGAAAAGTTATTTTAAAATTAGTGCTGCCGTTGGGACATTTCTTAATTTGGAAGGGACTTTTCCTGATAGGTCCTGAATTTGGAAAGAGATAGAAAAGAAGAAAAGTATTCAGTTAATGAAATACACAGCAAAGCTGTGTGTGGAGATCCTGGATTCAAAGTTACACATGTCATTACAGTTTAAGCACTAAAAAATAAAAACATGGATCTATTTGAGTCAGAGTTGATAGTTACTAACCATGAACTGGAAGAAAGGCATTCAGGGGAAAGACTTATGTAAATCATCCACTTTTGGAGTGGCAGTAATCTCACTTGATATTAACCATCTATACATTTAGACATCTCATTCAAGCAGGCTATGCCAGGATCCTTCTATACTTAATGAAGAGAGAGATGTACTCCCAGGAGCCAACCCATCCTAGGAGAATATCTAAACTGTTGAAATCAATCACCATGGGTACTTGGTGCATCTGAATACATTGATTTCTGACAGTAGTTATAAACCCTACCCTTAGAAATTTAATTTGCCATTCAACCCAAAGTCATAAGCACTACTGGGCATGAAGGAATTTTTTCTAATTTTCTGATAAAACAGCTCCTACTATGAAATGCCATTAAACAACAAACAGATACATAGCTATTCCTACTTCATATAATAATTACGATTTCTGAAGAAAAATCTAAAAGAATCTAGTTGAAATCTAAAGAAATGAATGCTGAAGAGTGTTTCAATAGGTATTTAGATATTCAAGATAAAATCCAAAACCAAACAAAAAACTTCAACCATTTTCCATACAAATATGAACTTGTGTTACTAAATCTAGCCAGAATTGATGGGCTGAACTACTTGTCTTCATGCATCTCCAGGATTTGGGGGATGAACAGAAATCTCTGAAGAATTTGAGGTCAGTTAATTGGCTCAGGACGTACCTATCCTGCATGGACAGCACAGAGTTCAGCATAAAGCTAATTCAGAGGAGGCACTTTACATAATAGATCAATATTATGCATCTAGGAAAAGGAAGATAAGGTTGCTGTGCACTTTTCATTCTCCTTGGAGAGAGGAGTTCTGGAGTTTAGTCTCAGGCCCAGAAGACACTCAGACCCCAGTCTTCCATGGAAATGCCTTAATCTCCAGGCACTTAGCAACTAAGCAAGATCAGCCTGGAAGCACTCTCTGTTTTTCCAACTGAAACTGTGACTGAAATCAATTCACACATATAGAGAAAAAATGAGATCAAACTCATTTGTTAGTATTCATCTGGGAATGAGGAGCCTCTAATTTGGTTCCAACTCTAACAGTGTTGCTGTGTTGTGTGCAACAGGTCTGATACAACATGCTTTACTTCTTGCAAGAAGGCTCGCAGTCAAAGCTCTACTCTCTCATAGCCAAATGTTTTGATTGCTAGGCTGCTGATTTGGACTCTTTTTTACTTACTCTGTTTTGTGTTGTGGGCAAATTTAAACTCTTGATTTACAGTCACATTTGGAAACCAGAATAGAAGAGGTGTGATGAATGCAGAGCTGTAAGTTTGCAGCTAAGAGGAGAATGCTTACAATTATTTTGTTTACTTCAAGTTTTTAGTCAGTGGCTGTCTTCCCATGTGATTTTAATTCCATGCTACTGTATTTAGTGTTGCCATGAGAGCACACAGCCTTACATGCAGGCTGACAAACAGT